ACCCTCCTCCTACATATATATAATCTTGCCTTATTGATCTTAACCATGAAGGGATATGTGAGTATAACCTGAAAATTCTATCTGCATATTTGTCTCTCCTTTTCACACATTTTACAATGACAATTATCAACTTTTCCAATGTTACAAACAGCCTGAGTTTTTCCCCTTCATTTTTAAAAGACATCCTTTAACTTCTCTAAATATCCATGGATACAGGAAAGTTGGGTCTATGTGCAACAATAAGAAAACGGGATGAATGTTATTTTATGATATTTGAGAACAGCTGAAAATCGGCTAGCTCTGCTACTGGTGGGATTACATGTAACACAAAGTCAAATTTTCTAGGCTTTTTCTGTAGTTTTTTCTAGAGTTCTGGGTTTTATTTTGATTAACCAAAAGCTTAATGGTAGTTTATGTATTTTCTTCTTCGGTTGACATGCTGTAACCTGCGTGGAGTTGATGTGATAGATATATCTGCTAAAACTTACAGCTGGCTTATATTGTTAATTCATTAATTTTTGTGTAGCTTCATGAACTTGAAAGGGGAGTTGACATTCTTGTGGCGACTCCTGGAAGATTGGTTGACTTGCTTGAGAGAGCTAAGGTCTCTTTAGAAATGATAAGATATTTGGCTCTTGACGAGGCTGATAGAATGCTTGATATGGGCTTTGAGCCTCAAATCAGAAAGATAGTTGAACAGATGGATATGCCACCTCGTGGTGAGAGACAGACTATGCTGTTTAGCGCCACCTTCCCGAAAGAGATCCAGGTCTTTGTTGTACACCTTTTCTAATATTCCTAGATAAAAGAAAAGGAAAAGCAATGGTGATTCGCTTTTCTACTTCTCTTTGTATTCTAGAGCGGGAAGGGAGACTTTATTTTTCACCACGAATAAAGGCATCCCTTCTCACCACGATTTTCTTACAGTCGAATTTTGACTTTATAACAAAATGACGTGAAAGAAGTTTCTGGAAGGGAATGGAGCATGAAATCTATTAGAGTAAACAGATATCACTCGTATTGAGCTAGATATGGCATGGCTATATTGCTATATCTTGTTGATGCTGCAATAATAACAATATGTGATTTCTTATTTATTTATTTTCTGTCGGCCTGCAGCGAATGGCGTCAGACTTTCTTTCAAATTACATATTTTTGGCAGTCGGAAGGGTAGGTTCCAGTACAGACTTAATTGTTCAGAGAGTTGAATATGTTCAGGACGGTGACAAGAGAAGCTATTTGATGGATCTACTTCATGCTCAGAGGGCAAATGGAGCTCAGGGGAAGGTAGGCTGATAATGGTGAATAATACAGAATCTAATAACTTGGATCTTTTTGTCCAACTGTAAACTCCGTGTGACTAAAATGAGATCTGAATTAAGGTGAACAAAATTCCCATGTGAACTGGTTATTAGCTGATTTTATAGCGGTTAACTTATCTAAGGCTGGGTATCTTGGTTGTTTTAGGTACTCTAGTATGTTTTTCGCAAAAATGTGAAGCTTCTCTTGTTATATATTGTTCATTGGTGTTGTCATTCTCTGACGAACTCTTTTGTTTATATTGATTCTTGTTTAAGCTAAAATACGAAGCTATTTTCCGATTGTTGTTGGTTTGGCAGCAAGCTCTTACTCTAGTGTTTGTGGAGACAAAGAAAGGAGCCGACTCATTGGAAAATTGGCTATACCAAAACGGTTTTCCTGCAACTACTATCCATGGCGATAGATCCCAACAGGTAGAGAACAATAAAATCAAGTGCATTTTTAAACATATTATCACTGTCACGTTTGCATGCAGGAAAGAGAGCTGGCGTTAAGATCTTTCAAGAGTGGAAACACGCCTATACTAGTCGCGACTGACGTGGCGGCCCGCGGGCTCGACATCCCGCATGTGGCCCACGTCATCAACTTCGACCTCCCCAACGACATAGACGACTATGTGCACCGCATAGGACGTACTGGACGAGCTGGCAAGACGGGATTGGCCACTGCATTCTTCAATGAGAACAACATGTCACTGGCAAAGCCTTTGGCTGAGCTGATGAAGGAAGCAAATCAAGAGGTGCCCGACTGGTTGACCCGTTTCGCAAGCCGACCGTCTTACGGAGGAAAGAGCCGGCGTGGAGGTGGCAGATTTGGCGGCCGTGACTTTAGAAGGGACTCGCCGTTTAGTAGGGGCAGCGGTGGTGGTGGAGACTACTATGGAGGCGGCGGTTATGGAGGAGGATATACTAATTCTGGGGCGGGCAGTGCTTGGGACTAAGTGCATATATATTTATATATATGTACACACATTTTTTTTTTTTAATGAAAACCAGATGATGATGATGATGATGATGATGATGATTATGATATCTTTACTTTTTCTTTTATATCTGTTGAGAAATATATACTGTTTATCTTTGTCAGACCCTTTTTAGTTCCAAAATATTAACTTTGTGTAGTCCCTCCCCAAGCCGGCATTACGGGAGAGATGTTTTGGTAGAGAGAGCATAGTTGAAAGTTATTTGAATTTTGAGTCCCTTTTGTGTAAAAGACATTTGGTTTTTGGTTTTATGTTGTTTGTTTGCAACAGCTGCTATTCATTCTTGTTGAATTTAGCCCGGCAGCTTTGGTTCTAAATTAATGGCTCGAGCTTGATTTATTATGTATCAATGGAGTAAGTATTATTCAATTGGTATTAGCATAGGTGTTACGGGTCTAACATAAAAATTCTAGCCCAAACTCTAGACCCTGTGACAATAGGCCTAGTAAGCTAGTGGGCCGGCTACATACTTACTGGTTTACAAAAAGCATGTAAGCAAGAGTACGTAGGAAAATATGGATACATAATAATAATAATAATACATATAAACCACACACAGATAACCAAACGACACAGATGGAGAAAAACGAGCAAATTTTAGTCTACCATACGAGATTGGGTCAGCCTTGTGTTAGTTAGCCTGGCATACTCATTAGGTCACATACGTTTTTAACGGCGGTCTTTTATTAGAAAACTAATATTCCATCTCTGCATTTGCACAAATATAAATAAAGTAGTGTGAGTTATTGGTATGCATATAATGATTAATAATTTTTTTTTGCACTTTTTGCAGGCCAAATTTACAATTAAAGGAGTTAAAATATTTATTTTTTTAAATTGCGTTTATCATATCGGATGTAATGTATATTTTGGTATGTATTTTTTTTTTTTTGTAAATTATTTATTATTTGTTTAGGAATTACAAATACATTCTTTAATTTCCAAAAGAAATTAATTTAAATGTAACAACAACCATAACATCTAATCACGTTAAATAGTCAACATAGAGGTGGCCAGTCAACGGGCCGTAACCCTGGCCGGCGGGCCTCACATGGGTGACGCTTAACCGGCCCGCCATAACCCAAGGGCTGGCCCGTGGAACCGGTCCGATCCAGGCCCGCCAGGACAA